CATGAGGTAATACTTCTCATCTCTACCATATATTGCTAACTGTTTATTTATTTTGAAGATAGATGGACTTTTTATTCTAGTTTTTAGAAGTTTATATATACGAATGCATAAAATTATAGAGTAATGAATGAAATTGCTGAATATAATGATTAGATTGCGTTGAATGATTAAAAAAAAAAAAAATTAACTGATGGGTTTGAGTTACTTAAAATGCATACATCTTATGTGATGAGTAAATAATAATGTTATTCATACTATGTTTTTGTATCACATTTCTATACCATCTTAGATGGCATCTAATGTGGACAGCTACATCATTTGAAAAATTTGCAAAATTCAAGGAAAGAAAGGAGAAAGACTCCTCGTATACCACAGTCATCATTTAATTAACTAGTTTTTTTTTAATTATTAGCTTATTAAATAATGAACCAAATTTAAAAATCTGATTAATTCAAATGATATGGCTATCCACATCAAATGCCACTTAAGATGATATGAAAATATGGTATGAATAGCGTTAATCACTTCTTGCTCCATCTTTATCCTCACACCTAAGTTTGTCTCCTACTTAGGCATCATCTAATTGATTAGTGGGTCGGGCAAGATTGGAATCACATCATGTCTACTGTCGTCCTATAGAATCTCATTCTAGAGATGAAAAATAATTTACATGACACGGGTACACTGTTATGGAGAACAAGACATGTAGACAAAAAACTTATGTATGTCTTTATTTCTTTGACATGGATTGCCACTACGATGGTGTACTTGTGCGGCCATGCCATGTAAGTCCTCGTAGAGATGAGACTCCTAACATATTTAACATGTGAGATTATTATCCAATTTAATGTGTATGGTCCCCTTCTTTATTAAGACCACCAAACATGGAAGAGGACCCTGGTCCATTTTTTGACTCGCATGTCTTTTGAGCCAGACCTGGATTGTCTGTCCTCTCCATCTCATATCCTTCCTATTCCTTCCTATTTTTGTGATCACGGTTAAGTCACGTCAACATTTTATATTGAGTTTTTTTATAGAAATAATAAGACAAAAAGCAATAGGAATATAAAATGTTAACGTAGCTTAACCGTGATCACATAAATAGAAGGGGATGGGAAGGATATGGAATGGGATGGGAAGGAAGACAATCCAGGTCCTTTTTGAGCCCCCTCACCAGATTGAAGGTGAGTGAAGAAAAATAATAGATAATTATGTCATTTCCTTTGCATCAATTCGTAAAGGTTGCTATGCAGGTGAAACGATCCAGATCAGACATTTTATTCGCAAAATACGTTTCAAATTAGTCTATACTAATTAACCTAAACCTTTTCTTGCAGGAAATGGCTTCAGGTCATAACAGATTGCAACCAATTTCTTCGCCGAGATACACAAACTGGGCATGGCAAGTTCATGGAAACAGCAACAATGTCAGCCCAATGCATGTGTATTCCATTGCAGCATCATCAGGATTCCCATCTTCCACAGCTACTACACCTCCATCAGCTACTTACCTTCCTCCGAACCTCCAAGACGGTAGCGCTTCCGCCTAAAACGTCCGCCGCCTTCCTTTCCCAGCCGCATCCAGCATGTACTAGTGCTTTTGAAAGGCTGGCTAGGTCGTGAGCAAATGTATTAGTTTGTAATGTGCAGAGATGTTAATTTTTCGTTTCGAATGTGTTTCACATTATCAAACAGAGTGGTATGTAATATCACCTAACATTGTCCTTGTAATTGTTGGGCCGGCCCAGGCCCTGGCAGGGTGATTGTTTGGAGCTCAAAATAATTTAGGGCATCAAAGAAATTAATATATGTTTTCATAAGCGTATAAATTTATAAAATTTTAGTTCAATGACAAATAAATTTAACTAGAATTGATGGTTTTATTGTTTGAAATTAATAAGGAGGTCTTGGGTTCAAAACATCACGTGTGCTTATTCACTACTTAATTTTTACAAATTTCTTTTCATAAGAGTATAAATATATAAAATTTGATTAAGTGATCAAGAAGTTTAATTAAAATCAATGGTTTTTGTTGTTTAAAATTAACAAGAGGTTCTTAGTTCAAAATACTAAGTGCATATTTATTCTTTTCAATTTTTACGAATTTTTGTTTGATTGTTAATTTATTTTTAATTAGTAGCTAATAGCTATGTGGATTGTTATTTTTAAACATTTGTTCCAATTCAAGTCTATCTTCAACAAAGAGTAATGTGTTGACTAAATTTTTAGATCAAATTTCAAATCATATGACGTGTCATCAAAAAGTTTAATTTAATACTCATTTATTACTTAGACATATCGACAATACTAAAAAACATCATTATTTTTTTAGTCTCATATTGACATGGTTAGTAAATAAGAAAAAACACCTCACGATTTATACAAAAATACTTTAAAAGTTCAGATGGAAAAAAAAAAAACTCATATTTAACTACTTGTAAACCCGGAGTTTTTTTGTTTCCTTCTCACGAAACAAAATAAATTAGTTTTTTTTTCTGTATTTCTAAATTGTTAAGTTTGAAGTGCTTTTATAAGTATAATTTTATCTTACATGTGAAAACAAATAATTTTCTTATATAAAGTGAGTTCATATTTTTTAGCGTCGCTCTGGACCTCAAAAATCTCCAGACCGCCCTGCTGTTGTATATGAGCTTCAGTTTTAAGTAAACGGTTATATCTTTCCAGTTGCGAAGGTGGAATGCATGCGGAAAAGAAACTTGTATGTTACCAGAAGTTTCTCATGTATGATTGTCACATCGGCATGAGAAAGTATACATCAATTGGCTCATATTAACACATAATTATTTGTTAATACCACAATTTTAAAAATCATTACATAGTAGGCGGGTGATGGAAAGGGGCGTAGTGCCTTGATACTTAGGCGGAAGCCTGGGCAGTTTTTTTTTTTATATATTTAATAAAATATATTATATAACGCTAGTGTCTTGGACTTAATTAAGACGGATAGTTAGGTTGCTGCTTAGCCAATTTTTCAAAGACTCTTTAATACTATATTTGACATATCAATTATGTCTTTTATTCATATTATAACGCGTATTTAAAGTCTCAGACCAACCTTCTGACATGCAAGAAGCTTGAATTCACTTTGTTAGTTATGTTCTGTGCGTTGGGTCAGCTTCAATAAGTTTCAAGGCATCCAAGTTGCATGCTAGAAAGAAAGGTGGTAGTTTGGATCCTGATGCTCATCAACCTTGTCCTTGAACCCTGAACTAGAATGAACGTAACATTTATTTAAATCTTTAAGCACCTATGAATATAGCTCTAATATGGTAATTAGCAAATATAAATGGCTTGTAACTCAATTGGTTAAAAATCTTCGCTTTTCAATCTGAGGTCTTGTGTTCGAATCTCCCTCCCCGTAATTTAGTGTTTACTTACTTTAGGTAGATGGCGTTTTACTGCAATGACAGATAGCAATCATGCCTATGCACCATGGTGTTGGTTCATCTCTACCGATTTCCCTCCATCCTAACTACTAACTATTTAACTTACTAACGTTATCATTTGCGTGTATGATATTTCAATGATGATAAAAAAAATGAACGGTTCCGATTATAATGTTTGGACGGTTAATGTTCATTAATCACAAGTAAGAGGACAAGTAAGTCCCCCATGAGACACAAGCATTAATATCCTTAATTCAAACCTTAATTAGGTAATGTATACACTAATTTTTAACTCAGCTTGCTTAAAAGAAGTCGTATATTTTGGCTTGTTGAAACGTATTATGTTTCACAACATAAGAATATAACCACTTAGGGCATGTTTATTAACGCAGAAACATAATGGCTGGAAAGAGGTCATTTAAACAGCACTGAGGAAATGTATTATACTTAAATCGAACGATGTGTTCTAGTTATATTATGAGACATTGAGTACGATACACCACGATATGGTTAGGCCTAATCGTAGTCCAACCAAGCCCTCCACTGAAAAAGAAATTCCAACATATATATTTTAAAATTCATCTTTGTTCTTGAAATCGATTAAAACACAAGTCACATTCCTATATACGATAAACGAAATAAATGCAATTTGGTCGATAAATGAGAGACGACTGTTGATCTACGGTCGTAAATAGACCAAATTGAATATCATGCTCAAACTTAACTTGTGTAATTTCTTTTTGAGCTCGGGCTGCTTTTTGTACAAGTTAAATAATTCCAAGCATGATACTAAACTCAAGTTGTATCGAATTTATTTGTGTTGTAACAAATTAACACAGCTTGTCACGTATTTTAATGTTAATAAATAATTTGTAGTATATATATAAAAAAAGAAATACTAAGGATACTTTTTTAAAAGTGGAACTCTTCATGAAATTTCTATTATATATTTTACACAATGCTGACACGAAAATTAATGTTAAACTGTGAGGTGGTAAATAGTCTATAAAGAGTTCCACTTTAAGAGAGTGTCTTTAGCATTTTTCATTAAATAAATATAACAAAAAACATTTTAGATTATACCAATAAAATGTTATAAAATTTCTTAATTGGTCGGAAAATAAAACATGGAATAATAAATAAATTGAACATAAACTTATTAGTAAAAGACTTGTAATTTAGTTAGTTCATAACATTTACATTTTGCCTTCAGGTTTCAAGTTCAACACTCTTTCTTTCCAAAAAGGCTTGCTTTGTTTCTTTCAATGCGATTTCGAACTGTTTCAAGCTGATTATAGCCTTAATTTGCTTTAGTAGTATTTTATCTTCTTTCTTTTTTAGAATTTTTTTTGTAAACCAAAAACGTTATATATTAGAGATTTAGCTTTTATATTTACAATTATTTATTACAACCACCGTCTCAATAGTTAGTACAAATTATGTGAGTAAACCAAAAACGTTATATATTAGAGATTTAGCTCTTATATTTACAATTATTTAGTACAATTACCGTCTCAATAATTAGTACAAATTATGTGAATATATGTATAAATTATAATAGAGAAATTATAAACATATCGTTTTTCCCATGTTGGAAAATCGTACTTAAAAATTGTCCATGGATAAATCCCACGAGTAGCCAGCAGTAACTCAGTAGCAACTCGCAACTCAGTCTCCTTCTCCAAAACCCCAAAACCCCGAAACCAAAATGCGGCGCGCCATAGACGCCCACCTCAAGGCGGCGCGTCTCTTTCCCTCCTTATCATACTTCTCTTCTTCCTCCTCACCGTCTACGCCTCGCGTCACCGTCAGTGCAATCCTAACCCTAGCTCATCCCCACGCTCCTTCCATTTCCAAAACGCTGAACCTCCACTCGATCACAATTTCGTCCTGCTCTTCGATTCTCAGAAACCACGGTGTCGCCTCCAATTTTGGCCTCGCCGTCGTGCGCTGCGTTTCGTCGGTCCCGCATGCCGATACATTGGAGTGGAACGAGCCGGTTTCGTGCTCGGAGGTCGGCGATGGCCACAAAGCCCCCGTGGACGAAGACTCCAAGCCCTCGATTCCTGTCCGAGCATACTTCTTCTCCACCAGGTTCTGTTTTCGGATCTTTCATTTTTTTGAATTAGTAACTTTTTGTTTCGAAATTGTCCCAGAAATGTTTGCGAATGAAAAGGCAGAGGATTTCACTAGTTTAGTGTTCATATTGTTTAGGATCAGAGTGTGAATTCTGTGATTCTACTTGGTTTTTATAATTTGCAAGTATCTTTGTCAAATGTAGTGTCGATTTAAGAAGCTTGGTAGAGCAGAACAGGCTGAATTTCATCCCACCTACATCGCGAATGACTAATTATGTTGTTTTTAAGTTCGGGGAGCTTTCCGATTCGAACGATGTAAGTTTGCTGCATTTTTCTTTGATTTCCAGTGATTTCGGCTCTGATTTGGTTTCTTTTCTTAACAAAGAAGGGATAATAAGACCCTTTCTACAGATGCGAAAATCTTGTACCTTTTACCGCTTCCTGCATTTACCTACATTTTCTGTATTTGCTCGAAAAAAATGATACTATAAGTTGAATGCAGTTTCTATGTTTCAGGGTTTGGGCCTTAGTTTAAGTGGGAGTGACTGTTGCTACATGGTAGTCTTTCAGTATGGCTCCATTGTCTTGTTCAATGTCCGTGAAAAAGATATTGATGGGTATTTGAAAATCGTGGAAAAACACGCATCAGGATCGCTGCCTGAAATGAGAAAAGATGGTGAGACTGTATAAACAAAATTATATCCTTTCAGATAAGAAGTTTATGAATTCTGCACTATCTGATTCATTTCGTTAATCTTTCTGTTCTGTGCACAGACATTCCATGTTGTGTTATAGCTAAGAAAGTTTTTTATTGACTGAGTATTCATGCTGCGCTCAATTGTTTTTTTTATTTTTTATTTCTTGGTCAATCAATATTGTTGGACTGCGACCTTCGTTAATTTTTAACGTTGCAAAGTAAAATTTTCTGTTTTCTGCTTCATTATTGCTGCTCCAGTGGCTGTGGATTACAATTTTTGGGATAGTTTTCACATCTGAACTTTTATTTTGTTATGAAATCAGAGTATGAGGTGAGAGAGAACCCCACTTTGCACACATGGATGGAAGGTGGATTAGATTACATAATGTTGCAGTACTTGAATGTTGATGGAATCCGTACTATTGGTAGTGTTCTAGGTCAAAGTATTGCGCTTGATTACTATGTGCGCCAGGTATATATGCTGTGCATAATCTTGCGAACTTCAACTTTGTGAAAACGTAACTTGATGATTTATCTCAGAACTCTGTTTCTTCTTTTAGGTTGATGGAATGGTTGCCTGAGTTTACGGACATTAATCGTGAAATGGAAACTACTGGGAAGTTTAAAATGAAGAGGAAGAAACTGTTTCAGTTAGTGGGAAAGGCAAATTCTAATCTTGCTGATGTGATTCTTAAGCTCGGACTTTTTGAGAGGTAATAATTTTAGATCCATACTGCAGTTACCAATCTGAAATTTGGTTTTGGATAACAGTGATCCTCCGTAAGACGGGCATAATGTTATCTGCATGTATGGTTATGATTGACAGGAAAAGTAATGAATCAGAAGACAAAAAACCCTTCTGCTATTCTTTTTCACCCATCTGAGAAGGTTTTAGTTTCTTGACATGTTTAATCCAACTAATGAAAAATTGATTGACTTTACAGATCGGATATTGCCTGGAAGGATGCCAAATATGCACAGATATGGGAATATCTCAGGGATGAATTTGAGTTGACTCAGAGATTTGCAAGTCTTGATTTTAAGTTGAAGTTTGTGGAGGTACACGAAACAAATTATTCTCAATACTGGCTTACTAAATCTGGTGAACTACTTTTCAACTGCTGTGGATGTTGTGCTGACATTTTGTTTTCTTCGTTGCAGCACAATATTCGTTTTCTTCAGGAAATTCTTCAAAACAGGAAGTCAGATTTCTTGGAATGGCTCATCATTGCGTTAATAGGTGCTGAAATTCTTCTCTCCCTTTACGACATTGTCCACAGGTCGGCACTTGCTTCGCTTTAGACCCAGGATCGATGATGCACGAAGTCGAATGTGCCCTTGTACAATGTCCTGATCACTGTATATCTTACAGCCCCTCTCAAATTTGTTGCTTTCTGCTTAGTTGAATTGTGTAATTATGACTTGAATTGATCTTATGATCTGATAAATAAATCATAGATTTTGTATTGCTGTTTTCCTCATGTCAGTTGGCATCCACAATCCAAGAAAGTTCTATACAATGATGAATTTATCGAAACCTTAAGTCATGGGAAAACAAAATAATTCAAAACTACAAAGCGTATCGTCGTTTCACTATTTACCAAAAAGGAAAAAAATTCGATTTCGCTCTGTCGCACGCATCGGAAAATTTAGCCAGAGTAGCCAAAGCAACGGAGATTTTGACACCAGCAGATGCTCGAGGGATCCCCTCGAGCACTGAACCGATTTTCTCCTTCCTGCTCGGGTGTCGGGAATGAAGAATGATTTCTTGCAAGCTCCTTCCGTGTTCAAGCAAAAACCTTGCAAACTTAATCACATTCTCATTGATTCTATGTGAGTAATCATGAATATTCACTACCTTCAAGTGACCTAGGAAGTGACTCAAAATTTGAGCTTGACTTTCCCAGAATTGCTCTTCAGTGCAACCGGCATCGTCCAGCAAAATGTTGTGCCATGTCTGATTTCAAAATTTGAGCGAAATTGATAGTAAAAATATAAACTGAACTATAAAACGATCGACGAACAAAACCAGAGTGCGGAAACTTACCGGTAAATAAGTTTCGAGATATGTGTTCATTGTGTAAATACTCAGAGTATGTAGTTTGGGAGAGCTCATGAATAGGCATGTTATACCTGGGATGACATCTTTGTTGAAAACCCTAATAAAAATTTGCAATGTCTTAAGGTTCATGAATGAGTACGGTAGACCGCCTTCAAAATAAATATCCGATAGAATCTGCATAAATGAAAAATTGATAGACTGTAATTAATGACCAAAACAAAAACACTAAATAACTTATATAATACATCATCGTGAACGACCTTAAACCAATAAGGCTCTCCGCTTTGCGAGGGTCGAAGGCGGGAGAGCGTTTATCGTAAACAGCCTTACTCTTACTTTGCAAAGAGACTATAAATTATCCATTTTGAATGTAGGTTATGAGTTAAAAAGCATTACAAAGAGACAGATCCTGAATCCATAGAAGTCAAATGTAAACATAAGATAAAAACAGACGAAAAGTTGTTTAACCATACATGGATGTTTCATATAGGCAGTGATTTCAATTCAACACACCATTTTTTACTTTAAGCACAACCTTTTAGTTTTGACTCTGTTGATTTTCCTTTTAACTGTTTAATCTAAACGGGTACAAAACTAAAGTGTGTATGAGGTAAGAAAATGTGTGTTAAATTATATAGCTTTCATATATAATTATGGGTGTCCGACTTAATGAACGCGGTCCCCCATATTTGCTTCTCTCTAAATACGAGTAAGTGTAATAGTGTATAATTAGAATAGTTACTTCAAAATTTTCCAAATATCTTATAGGATAGTAAGAATTCCGAACGCTATAATCTCTGAAATTTCCAAACAATATATTGCAAGTCTCTCTTAAAACGTTTATGGATTGGAGGACGAAATCTACCGAGTAGTAATGCATTTTGTTTTCTGAAAACAAACAAAACAATGCATGTTTGATGTCATGAGATCAGTTCACTACTTATAGATGAACTGCACAGCACCTCTAAGTAAACAAGAAAACATGCATAAATTTTGGAAAACTAACCCGGAGATAGCTATCATAAATGCAAAGCTTCTGAACCTGCGAAGATCCACAAAGAAGATTGACTGTTGGCTTCGCCATGGTCACATCGACTACTTTACCGAAACAAGCCAGGTGACATGCTCTCAGGATGGGAAAGCTCGGAGCAAAACTTTCCTCCGTACCGTAGTCATGTTGCCACCAGAAAGTTTTCAGATTCGGGGCAAAAATTTTGACCCGATTTCCATTAACCCTTACTTCAAAAGAGTGTGTGATTTCCAAATTCTCTAGTCTCATTCCGGAGATGTGCAGGCTGCTAAGAAACATCTTGACAATGTGTACATCTTTGATGTTTGGACAAGTAATTTTGAGATGAGCGATGCCTTGACAATTTGTAATACTTAATTTCTCAAGAGAAGGTAAAGAAGAAGCAGAAAATAAATCCAGCTCCAAAGCACTATCCAAAAACTCCACACGAGTTAGAGACAATGTGTGAAGTTGGTGCAGACCACTTTTAGCCACAGCATTAGAAGATAATAAAAGACCAAAGTATGGTTTTGGAATTGATGGCGAATAATATGGATTTTTATAGGTGGCTAATGTGAGGCTCCTCAACGAATCACACTTGAACAAACTAGGCAAACCGAATGCGTCATCGGAAAAATACTTGTCAGTTAAGGAGACATCGAGTGCAAGTTCTTCAACCCTATACTTCACCACCCGATCAATACAAGAATACAAACAAGAAGAACTCAGATATCCTTTAACCCTAAAAACCTTTAAATTGGAGTTTTCATGGCGGTGTCTCAGTACTTTGCTTATGAATTCCACTGCTCCACCTTTAACATCGGAGAAGTCTAGGATAGGAAGGGAAGCCCATAAATGATTCCATTGTCTAGACAAAACACTGGTTTGTGCAGTGGATCCGACGGGTAGAAGGGAGAGTATGTGATGCAATATATCATCCGGAAGACTACTGATTCGGTTGCTACTGCTTCCTTCAGTGTGTAACTCTTCTTCCTCGGGAAGCCTTCCCCCTTTAGCTCTTGCTTCCATGGTTTTGGATAACGAAATTGTCTTCTTTGAAGATTAACCGATTGGGGAAAAATTTTTCTTTGAGGAGGAAACGAAGAACGTTAGGTTAGGGTTTTAGACCTACTTTGCCGTTTACTCTCCACGTTTTCTTATTTATGTTATTAATATTTGAATAACAGTAAACAAGTCAATCCTAGTTGAACAACGAAAGCTCCCAATCCAAATTCACAAGGATATTTGCCCTAAAATAAAAAATAACGAAGGATAAGAAAACCTATATCTTTACTACTATGTTCCTCCGAAAGACTATAATACAAATAGAGAGGTATTATTCTCACCCCAATGTCTTATCTTCCCATCCACTTTTTTATGAATTTTTTAATTACAAATTTGTCCATTTGTAAAATGACTACTAAGGACATTAATCCTTAATTTCAAAAATGTTACTTTTTTATAAAAAATTTCAAATATATCCAAAATTTCACTAAAACAGACACAAATACCCTCAAATTTAAAAATTAAATAAATTAAAGGCTTTTTAGCTACCATCGCCTCAAGCTCCGATCCAACTCATCTTCGCTTCTACACTCCACCACCACAACCCTATCCCCTTCAACCCCCTCATCACCAATATTAAGCGTTGTTGTGGTTACTACAAGCGGGAGCAGCATAATTTCAATCATGCATTCAATGCTTTTTTTCTTACTAATATCATTTTTAGTTTTAAATATAAAAATAGTTTTTAAAGTTAATCCACATGTCGTTATATGATTGTATTTGTGAGACCCACGTAACGCCATATCAACACACTAACAGAGCAATTGACAGATTTTTCACGAAAAAAACTAAAACAATCACGATGGACAAATTCAAAGAAAGATTAAAACGATTCACGATAGACAAATTCAAGAACACTACTATTGATTTATCATTAATTGTTAAAGACCAATTAAGGAGTTATGTCAATGTCACGAATCATTTTGGCTAAAAGCCTTTAATTTATTTTATTGTTAAATTTGAGGATATTTTTGTCATTATGTGGAATTTTGGATATATTTGAAAGTTTTTATAAAAAGTGACATTTTTGAAATTAAGGATTAATTTTTGGCTATATTTGATAAATACTCCCTTCGTTACCCCCTTTTGCATTACTTTTTTTTAGAGAAAAGAAAAAAGAAAAGTTTGGGCATGATAACTCTCACACTATGTTTAGAAAATTTGTCTTCATTAAAGCCCAACTTATCCTTCCCATCTCCTTTCATTCAAAGAAAGCAAAATCATTCGGAGAAAGCAAAAAGAATGAATTGAGAAGATGACGTTTCTATGGAAGAAGTAGATGATTATGTTTCTGTCGAAAAGGTAAAAGATAATTTTATGTGGGTCGTCTTGATTTGTCGACATCGTACAATTGAAGCATTGCGTGACTTTTTATTTGAATTTGCATTAGGTTAGGGTGCAATTTGTTTCATTAGGTTAGGGTAGATTTGTTTTTTAACGAGTTTTTCTTGAATAACCATTTCCCTCTTTTCCTTTCTACAGTATTGTTGAATATAATTAATTACCCTTCGAATAACCAGAAGGTGAAACACAAATCTCACACCATTTGCTTCATACTGGGCACACATTGTTTCAAAGCCTTTTGATGGTGATGAACTCCATTGTTTCATCCTTGGTTCGTTTTCGAACATTTGGTTTCAGTTAATTATTTTAATTTTGAAACCGAAGTGAACTTCGAAAACAAATATGTATTCCTGTTTCTTTATTTCTGAACTTTTCCTTGGATGAGCCCTTAGAATTTAGAAAAGGGAAATGCATTTGAAAAAGAAAACAAAAGGGGAAAGGCAACGAATGAAAACCCAGAATTCTTCATTCCCACTCCGGTTGGAATTTGGAAAGGAAACGGTTTTTAATTTTTTTTTTTTTTTTTTAGAAAAGAGTAATATTATTTGTTTATATTCTTTTTTTTTTTAAGATAAATTTATCTCTAATTATATATAGGGTTATTTTAGGAATAATAGTGGGTGAGAAAATAACATTTTAATTTTTTTAACTTTTTATAGTGGGTGTAAATATAACGTGGGTGAGGAAATAAGATAACAGGGTGAGTCGAGCAGCTCTCTAAAAATATAACCCTGAAAATAAAACATGACCGCCTAATTTGCTCAACTACAAATTACTTTCCAGCACTTTCCACAAACTACTGGAACATGGATATCACATATGTCGAGCTTGACAAGTCGTAACTCGACATCCACCCATACCAAACACTAGGAATCAACGATAACCATCCTGATGATAGTAACAATCGAGGTTTCTTAGCTCACAGTGTCAAAGATTATTTCAAATTAAGTGAGATGTTAAAACGTGACTAGGAATATTGTAGTATTCGACATATCTATTTTAGGATGAATTTTGTCATTGGTGAATGGCCAACCCATCTCTCTTTTACTTCCGGTCTATTTTGAGCAAGCTCTTTCTTGTAAGCAAATACTTTTGGCTTATACTACTTGGGCATCTCGACCTTGTCACATTATTTTGTAATTCCCCTTCTTTCGGGCTATTAGCCCCTATTTAACAAAACAAAACAAAAAATTGTGTTGCATGAAGTCTAGAAAGGCTTTACCGTCATGAAACGTCGTAACCTTTGTATGTTTTTACTGACCAAACCAACCCCCCCTCCCCTCCTCAAAATTGTGATGCATGAAGTCTAGAAAGGCTTTGCCATTCATGAAACGTCATAACCTTTGTGTTCGGGCATGAAATCTTGCGGGGAGAGGTCCCTGGCTTGAGCACACAGCTTCTTGAGGAGTTGGCACTTTGGTTGATTGTCGGGCTCTGGCTTGCTGACATGCTGCAAGAGGGGGACAAAGTTAGTTCTGAAAGGTGCCTTTGTGGGCCCTTAGGTGTAGGCCTTGAGGCTCGCAATCAAAACTAAGTGCTAAGGCGTGCCATCTCTGTATGGCAGATGTAGAATAAGTGTATTTAAGCCGATTACTTGCGCCACAAGTTATTATGACTTCTTGTTATCAAAGGATTGTCGTAGATGGGTTAAGTCTACATTAAGTTCTTTTATGTGTCTCGAGATCAATGACTTTTAGTTCTTTATCATGTATGCTTAAAGGGCGGAGATCAACATCTGATCAAGTCATCAGTTTTAATCACTTTTAATCCTCTTATGACCATAGAACCACTAAATGAACCAAATATGGGAACTGATGGAACTTTGGATCACCAAAAGACTAGAAATGACTTGAATATGTATTGGGGAATACATCATACCAATAGATCTATTGATTGAACGTCTTGCAATTTCTTTGTTGTAATTCTAAAGGGTTATGTACTGAAAGAATGATGAAAGGTATCTGGGCTTGACTCTGGACCTCGGGTAAAATCTCCTTTATTGAGCTCTTTTGGGCTTCCTTCCCTTTAAGCCCAAAATTAAATATTAACCCAAACACTTTGTATGTTTTTACTGACCAAACCAAACCCCTCCCCTTCCCCACCCCCCCCCCCCTTTCTCCTCCCTCCCTTTCTTCTTCTTTTCCAATTTAATTTGTTGCTTCTTACTCTTCTCATACCAGTATTGTTTTATATGATTAGAGTTATCTTATAATCTGATATGTGTAATTCCTATATCAATTGTTACGAGAAAAATTTATTGAATTATGTAAGAAAAATAAACCGTTTTGTGCATTCAGTAATGCTTTGAAAACGACACATCGTCAGTGACAAAATAAGGTGCTTCCAACTACTGCAGTACAAGCACCGGATGGTATGGTAATTAAGGAGACCTGTGGCTGTGCGAACTTTCAATTGGGTATAAGTCCACAGTTCAACTCCTGTTTAGAGTATTTTCCTTTTCTGTTGGCGCCATGTGTCACCTTGATTACTTCACACAACACGAGAGAAATCTTGGGCAGAGGTTGCAATGTCGGACAGCTCCCTCACACTGTGGGGGAACCCTAATGCAGGCTGCACTCCACTGTGAGAGAAGACGTATGTGGCAACCCTATCCATGCCTGGTGATCACGATCGAAAAATTCTTGGCTAGAACTGCCATGTACATAACAGCTCCCTCACGCTGTCGCTGTGAGGTGAATCCGAATGCATACGCGCGCCCCACTGTGAGAGAGCTGACCTATATGGTACCCAATAACCTCCCAATCTGGTGAAAAAAAGAATTTCTCCTCTACAACTCCATCACATAGCGTACAGCGAGCACTTGTGGTGCACAAATGATGACAGACTGATGTATGAGTGATGATAAAATATATACAACCGATTTTACAGACGCTTTTCTATACTTTGAAGGGAAGCTTTGTCGAAGAAGAAAAAGAAGTTAAAACGTGTAATGATGAGGATCATCCTAAACAAGGAGGCAGGACTATCACAGGTTCTCTCTTCATTTTTCACTCATCAACTTCTCTTAGTTCTCCTACTTTCTCGACAGATCTTGGTGTAGATGTTATGTAAAATTTAACAATTAAACTGGAGTTAAATATATCTTTTAACCCCAATTTTTTCTGTGCATTGGAGATGTGAACCTAATATTGGTATTTTCCTAGCGTCAAGTTTGTAAATAATGGTATCCATAAATTAACCAAAGAAGTTTCACAATGTGGATTGAAATATTGTCCAACTCAAAACTAAAAAGTTGATACTGAATAATTTTACATTCAATCCGAACCTTAAGTCATGGAAAAGCAAAACTAATTGAACCTTACTCGTAGTAATTGACCCTTACTCTGTCATAAGTATCTGGAAAATTAGCACCACTTACAGAAAATGAGATTTTGACATCACCATTTGCCCAGGGCAACTCCTTCAGCAAACTGATTTTATCCTCCCAACCTTTCGAGTCTCGTACATTAAAAAGCATTTCTTGCAAGCCCTCTCCATGTTGAAGCAAAAACTTTGCAAACGTAATCACATTTTCGTCGATCACATAGGGGTAATGATGAATGTTCACCACCTTTAAGTGACGTAGGAAGTGACTCATATTCTGAGCTTCATTTTCCCAGTATCGCTCTTCGGTGCAATCCACATCGTCCAACAAAAATTTTTGCCAGTTCTGAAATTTAATTTTAAAGGCATGTTAGTGATATATAAACTGTAACAGGATTGATTTTTAAAGTTCCCTTTAAAAGTGAATAAGCAAAGGAGAACCAAAGGATAAAAACAAGAGAACGAGCGTTGAAAGAGAAGTGTTGCCAAAACTTACAGTTGAATCATTTACCAGAACTCTGTGCCATATGTAAATACTGAGAGTATGAAGTATACGAGAAGTCTTGAATAGGCATGCTAAACCTGGGATGACTGCTTTGTTCAAACAATCAACGAAAATTTGCAACGTCTTGAGTTCCATAAATGAGTATGGTAAACCGCCTTCAAAATCAATTCTGGATAAAATCTGTAAAAATAAAATAACCCGCATTAATACACAACCTAAAAACATTGCCGCATATATGACTAGTTGCTTGCTGCCAAGCTTGGTAACGTAGGTTTATAACTAAGCAGGGGATTAAAATCATTGGTTGTATGGCAGATAAGTCAAGTGGATAAGAGATCATTATCACCACTTATTGAGGTCAAATTAAGTACGCCCTAAGCCCATGGGTTAGTATGGCATACCCTAGCCTCAATGGGCAGGTAGCAAACCTTGAAAAAGCAAAACACTGTGTAGACATCGAAATTTCGGAATTTTTCGTGTTTACACACTGGTTGCTTGCTTACAGAATGTAGATAATGTGCAACAATATGACATTTCTAAACAATAATTACATAGTATATGAGACTCTCAAATAATGAACTGACATCTATACCATTGTTAGTAAAGTAAAGGTTTTTCATTTTTAACAATGCACAGGTCTCTCCAAACTAGCAAAGAAGAAACATGAAGGAAAACTAACCCGGAGATAGCCATCAACAATGCAAAGGTTTTGGACCTGCGAAGAACTGCAAAGAAGATTGACTATTGTTTTCGCCATGCTCATAACAATTGCTGTCTGTGCCATGCTCATATCCATTGTTGCCTGCGAACAAACTAGGTGACATGTTTTTAGGGTGGGAAAGCTGGTGATTGAGCTTTCCTCAGTACTAGAGATTGACCCCCAATAGAAACTTTGTAGATTTGGGGCTAAAATGTTGACCCGACTTCCTTGAAGGTATCCTTCGAAAGCATGTGTGATTTCCAAACTCTCCAGTCTCATTCCCGAAATGTCCAGGCACTTGAGAAACATTCTGACAATGTGTACATCTTTGATCTTTGGACAAGTAATTTTGAGATGAGTGATGCCAATACAATTTTCTAAACGTAATTTCTCAAGAGAAGGGAAAGAAGAAGCAGAGAATAAATCCAGCTCCGAAGTACTGTCCAGAAACTTCATACTAGTTAGACACAATGTGCGAAGTGCGTGCACACCAATGGTAGCCACAACATAATAAGATAATGAAATCGGGAACTGTTGGCTTGAAAGTGGTCTTTGCCAAGCATATGAACTATATCTGGCTGCCAATTTGAGACTCCTCAATGAATCACAGTTAAACAACCTTAGCAAACCAGATTTGTCACCGAAAAAATACTTGTCAGTTAAAGAGACATCAAGTTTAAGTTTTTCAACTCTATACTTCACCGCCTGATCAATACAATTATACAAACAAGAAGAACTCAGATCACCTTTAACCCTAAAAACCTTTATATTGGAGTTTTCATCACGGTGCCTCAGTACTGTGTTTACGAATTCCACTTCTCGTTGTTTTAAATCTGAGAAGTCTAGGATAGGAAGGGATGCCCATAGATGACTCCACCTTTTTGATAAAATACTTGTTTGTGCGATGGACTGGATGGGTAGAAAAGAGATTATGTGATGCAATACTTCTTCCGGAAGATTACTGATTCGGTCGCTACTGCTTCCCTCAGTGTGTAACTCTCCTTCCTTGGTAAGCCTTATCCTTCCTTGAGCTGTTGTTTCCATGGTTTTGGATAACCAAATTGTCTTCTTTGAAGATTAACCAACAGAGGAATAAAAAAAATTCTTTGAGAAGGAAACGAGAAGGGTTAGATTAGGGTTTGAGACTTTGCCTCGCGTTGTACATCAACTTCCTCCACGTTTTCTTCTCTTTTATTAGGCCAATATTAAAAAGTACAAGTCAAAGGCCCAAAAGTCTAAAAGACTCGCGTGCCGCAAATTGGTGAGTTCGGTCCCATATGTCATATGTCCGGCTTGACATGCCCTAATTAATTACTAGACGGTCGATATCCACCCAGACCAAGCGTTACGTTCGACATCCATTCATATGAAGAAGTTGCCCTGGACGGTTTCTTAGACGATAGTTTCGAAGATTATTGTTATTTCGGACGCTACCAGACTGCCCCTGTCAATTTGTCTCTTGTTGTGTTCAGACTTGCAATATCCTTATTTGCCTTCAGAGGAAACACAGAGACACTTCTCATACAGCTTCACTTTATGTAATTATGATTTGAGCTTCTCATAATCTGATGAGCGTGGACATAAGATAGGAATTTTTCCTTGTGTCAAGTTGGTCAATATTCTCATTGCAATAATGTGGCAAACTATATATGTTGGACTCCGTTTCTCTTTTGTCTCCTTGTGTCAATGTTCTCATATCTTTTCTTTTTTGTTATTTATTCAAGGGACACTTTGGATGCGGTCCCTGACTATCAATATTCTTTGATTGAAACCTTGTTTGTTTTTTAGTTTTTTATCGAAATCCCTGACATTAATGTAATAATGTAAGTTACTATATTTTTAAATTAAAAATTAAAAATTAAAAATTGTATTTGTTTATATTAATAAGATTTTAAATATAACCCAAATTTGTGGGATTAAAAATAATAAAATATAAATGATACTCTCTATTAATTTTGTGTGTGTGTATTTGGGTACATTCATCAAAATTAACAAAAAAAAAAATTATTGTACCAAAACATGGATACATTCTTCAAAACACACACAAAAAAAAAGAAAAAAAAAGATGAAGATATTAGGCTTAATAACATTAGTAAATTTCTTTGATTAAACTTGATATAGATACATTCTCAAATCATCGAAAAGAGAATGTACCCATATAAGTTTAAAAATGGATTAAAATTTTTTGAATGGATTTTATATTAAAAAATTGGGTAAATTTTATATAAAAATGTTGTACATTTTATATTTTAAAAATGGTACATTTTACATATAACAAATTGGTATATTTAAGAATGGGTACATTTAAGATTAAAAAAATTGAAAATTATATGAATGGGTACATTTAAGATTCAAAAATTAAGAATCTTTTTATAAAAAAAAACCAATGGGTACAAACTTATTCTAATTTTTTTTTTAAATGTTTGAATTGAAAATTAATTAGGAGTTAATAGAAGTGTGAGTATTAAAATCCTAAATCAATTATTAATTTTTATTTTTCAAAAAAAATATGTAATAAACATGTAAATTCATTATCGCATTAATGTTAGGAACTTCAATCAAAATTTGAAAACTAATAAGGTCTCAGTCAATGAACATTAGTAACTATGGACCATATACTAATTTTTCCTTTATTCAATTCAAAGACTACAAAAATAGAGTAGTGAAAAAAAGGAGTGGAAATTCTTTTAATTTTTTTGTTACGAGGGGAGCTTAGAGGGCAGGAAAAAAGTTAAACAAAGAAAAACATCAACCATAACGGCTTTACACCACGACTCTAACAGGATTATCCAGAAGTAATTGATAATGAACAGAGTAGGTTCATAGAACACAATACACTCAACGTCGACATAAAACTCAGCTTCGCCTAACCATCAACCATCATGTTTCTTTCAAGATATGACTCAATCCACATTGGCCAAACTGAGAAATCAAATGTTGACAGCCATATAACAAGCCAAAGATTGGAAATGTTGCACCGCACCCTTGAAAAGGGACAATTGAAAGAGTTTTATTAATTATGTAAAAAGAAAAAGGAAAAACGGTTTTGGGACAGTTGAAACGACACATTGTTCGAACTGCTTTGTTTGATTAAAGATTGGGAAGAGTTTGGCACTGTTGGTGAGAGAATGAAGTGCTCCAGAATCTTGCATGTGATGTGTGCGCAGTAGTTTGAATCCACAGCTCAACCTCAACCCCAGCTCGGGAATCACTGAAAAGTACTTCAACAGCTATGGTTTCGTTGCTGATTGGAATCCGGTTTTATCTCAGTATTGTAGTCACGAATTTGGTACACCGGACCATGGGGTGGTTACTTAACGATATACATCGAGGGCGGCTGGATAATGTATTTTTTATGTTGACAGTGATTGCAGTGGTGAATTTTGTGTACTTTCTGATTTGTGCCAAGTTTTTTAAGTATCAAAACCAAAACGTTGAACTCAAAAATTAAAATGGAAAATATCTCAAAATTCTAATAATTGAGGGGTACAAATCTTTATTCATTACTTAAGAATAATTGTCCGTACAAACTCTCCGTAAACTTCACTTCATATTAGTTTTTCCTTCGCGCACCAGACCTAAAGAAGGATAAAAATATTTCTGACGGCCTCCAAGGACGAAGAAAGAATACATATTATTCTAAAACAGAACCTTTTTGAAGCTGAAACCAATTAAACTTTAGTTGCTGCATCAGCCCATGGTGAACTTGGTACATCCTTGGGGAAGAGGATCCTCTCTGGATCTAGGATCTCCACATCCTAACCGTTCATCATACATTGTAAGGTCAGTTTTTGTCAGGTATTATTTGTGTTTAATTTTAAATAAATAAAAAGTCAAATGATTTTTGATCGCATGATATACGATGAACGGCTAAGATGTAAGGATTCCTAAAATCCTCACAATTTGGATCCGGATGAGGTCTAAATCCCATCCTTGGATATTTCATGTATAGGACTGTCACGTCAGCAGTGCCACATCAGCAGTTAGTTACATGTTAGAAGGGTAGCTTCAATTCCAAGCAATGTAATGAGAAGTATAAATACTTCTTCTCTTTCATTATTCACTACCGAGAAGGCAAAAGGGTGAAGAGTTCTTAATATCCAAATTACCCTTCTCTCATTAGGTTTCAGAAGAAAAAAAATCACGTAGTGTAACTATGGGTGATTATTTTCATTATTTTTCAAAGTATATTTCTCACATATGTATATTCTTTAATCTAACGTTGAAGGTGGTATTTTGTGTCTGTCTTTTTCTTTTTGTTTTTCATTTTCTTTTTCTTTTCGTTTGTGTGTATAAAGAAGTATGTATTGTGTATTTTGCAAGGTTCCACCATTTTTGTACGTAGGCAAATTATGTAATAAGAAGAAGTGTATATTGTCGTTGTGAAAAGAGTGAAATAATTTTCCTGACCAAAAGTTTCTCCAATAAAATCGGATTGGGTGGGCTCATTAAATTAATTAAACCAAAACGTTCCGCACATGAACGCTTCTTCATATGTACATAACCTTGAAGCATGGTTCCACATCAATTAAATTGCGAAATCTAAAGTTGACAACCATATAACAATGAAGCCAAATAGTGTAAAAGGGACAACTGAAAGAGTATTCTTAATTATATCAAAAGATAATAAAAGGGTTTCGGGACAGCTGTTGAAAGTTTGAAACGACACATTGTTCGAATTCCGTTGTTCGATTAAAGAGTGGTAAGAGTTGGGCGTTGTTGGTGACAGAATAAAGTGCTCCCAAGTGTTGCGGGTAATGTGCGCACCTTCAATAGTTTGAAAGCACTTTCAATGGTTTGAACGCACTTTCAATGGTTTGATACCACAGCTAAACCTCAACCCCAGCTCCGGAAGCGATTTTCAGAGATACAAGATTGAAACCATGACTTCAAATGTAGAGAAAAACACCCTTAAAAATGCGCATGGTTCTGTTGGCCTATAATAAAATTATAAAACTCGAATCACCCAAGTAGCTTTACCCACTCTCCATCTTCCTTAGTGTAGATAATATCATTATTAAAAAAAATAACAAAATATCATATATATAAATAATATGCGTTTAGTTTATAGATTTTTATTATCAGCGTGTTCTTTACTTTTGCATAAAAATAAGCAGTACGAGAGAAACATGATCACTTAGGGCATTACCTAGTCACTAAAAGAAGATACGTAGTTTGCCCACATATATAAAGTCACTAGCCTCTCCGCATGCGCGTGAGCGCATGTGAGAGGTATTTTTTCATCACGAACGTTACGCGCCCTTAAAATATGTTGCTTTAGTTGTTTTCTTATTTGCCCATCCAAAGTTTTGGATTTTGGATGATTAACTCATTTTTCCAACGAACTTGTGAGATGCCAATACCCATCATTCCTCCTATCTTTTCAATAGATACCTTCAACGTGTGTTTTTTTTTTTCCCCCTTTTGATTAGAAGTAGTAAGCACTAACTCTGGAACCAGGAATATGTTACTATAAAAGAACCAAAGGCATCTAGCCTTTTTACATGCACTCTTGCGTGTGCGAAACGTCATTACGGTCGCTACGCACTCCTAAGTTATATATGTTGAATCGACATATTCTATTTAGAAAGCCCTTTTTATTATCCTCGAAGGACATGCGCTATGTATCATTTTCTACCATTGATTAGAACTCTACTTTAATAACTTAAATTTCCTTTCTTTTCCCGTATTTTGGGCACAAATAGTTCACAACAATCACACAATTTCCTCAAAATCTTAGCACAACCGGATTTCAACTCAAGGTTTACCTTAGGATTAGACTTAGAGAATTTATTTTAGTATTGTGTTGGACAACGTTGAGAAGTTACTTTGCAGTATTTTTTACTCTTATGCAATAATACATTAGTAAATAAGGATGTAATAGTAGTACATTTTAAATAAAATAAAAATCATATATACACTTTTATTACATTTAATCCAAACCAAGAATAAAAGAAAATTTACTCCACGTTTGATATAATACAAACACATGCATCTATAAGCATGTACTATTGTATGATTCTGTCTTGAGGGTCTAATTTATGAATCTTTGAAAGACATTTCAAACTAATAAGCAAGGCAGCAACATCAACTTTTGGCAATCAAATCTTAATGGTAGACACTTCATAACAATAATATGATCTCCACCA